CTTAAGTTATTCTTTAATTTCATAAGCATTCAGTCTCTTTCTCTTTTAATTTTTAAAGTTCTCAGTAGATATAAAGAATGGTCAGTGTCTACTAGAACTCATCAATGAATTAAATGCCGTCTAATAGTAAATGTAAAGCTGGCATGTTACTGCTGTTTTTCAGGTAGAGTCTGGGGATTCACTTCTAGTTAGCATGCACCAAGATGGTAGTTGCATTCACGTATCAATTTGACAAAACCCATATTTACCTATACACAGGTGTGCAAAATTGCATACACACGTACAAATGATTATCTGACCTAAGTAATAACTATAGAAAAGAAAAGGTGTTGAAATACGCATGTGTATTATTTTCAAGTAGTGCTTTTTTTGTACAAGTATCTTTGCTAAAACACTTATTTTTTTCAGCGTGTCAACACACAGCCCATATACCTATGTTAGTTTACTGACTCAATTGCTAAGAATTTTAAGTTGACATTCCAATGCAAACAGCACTTGGGGAATGAGCACTGGGGGAGGAGTCAGCTGCAAGAGAGACATTCTGTAATTTCAAAGTGCAAATAATGGCACCGCCTCAATTTTCATAAATATAATACGGATGTTCAGTATTGACTTAACGTTTTAGAACCCAGGGCATTTTAAAATTAGTTGGGCAGATGATGAATTTCATTTAAATTAACAACTTAAAAATGAAAAACTACCTAAAACCAGTCCTCTTGTGAGGAGGTATATTATAAAAGTTGGAAGCAGGAATCCCAGGGCCAAACTGCCAGGGTTCCCTTTCAGCTCCCCTGACTCACAAGCCCTGTGCTATTAGTCAGGCCACTGTTTCTATTTCTTGATTTCCTCTTCTGCAAAAGTAAGTGATTATACGATTATTGAGTTTTGGTCAGGATTACATTTGCTAAATCACGTGAAACACTTAGAATAGTTCCTGGCAAATAGCTGTTATTATTACTAACTTATAATTACAACAGTATTATTTTATGAATGTCAGGAAGCAGTGGTACTCATAATAGCAGAAGCAGCAGCAGTAACAGCACAACAGTGTAGACACATTTACCTACCAACATGCTTCAGTTCACTCTGTGTGTTGACCTAAAGCACTCTGTAATTCAAAACAGGGATATTCCTAGTATTTTGATACCAAGGATACTAACAGATATACCATCCTGCGTTCTATGTAAATAAAGTAGCCACAAGCTTCTAAACAAATTTGCAGTGATGCTAAGAGCCACAATATACGAAATAGTGTTCATTCTAAAGAGAAAATGAATGATTTAGGCATTATGTCAAACATTTAGGGCGACCCACGGCATGACACGAGAGGGCCCTCAAGCCATAGTCCACACCCTGGTGACCCTGTGGTGGGGCTGCAGAAAGGCAGCTCTT